ATTTATAATTAATTACTTTAAAACTTATAATTGTTAAAATATCTGATTCAAGTAATTAGTTTTAAGGAGTTTCTAAATACTTAGATTTAAGAAGAGAACTATAATTATATAATAAGTAATAGTTTCTAAACTAGTATTAGTAAATTAATTTTAAATAATTTAATTACTAAAAATAAAAAAATTATTTACTTATAAATCTAAATTACTAACTAAATCTAAATATTCTCTTTCAATAAACTATTTGTAAGTTATATAAAGTTTTATATTATCAAGTAACTAGTTTACTATTTTTAACTATCTCACATATTATTATATTTATTAATAATATTTTATAATTTTAATTTAAAATTTTAAGTACAAATATAGTTCTTTAAACCTCTACTTAATTTTGAAATACACAAATTTTAAAACTCTATTGTAGTGCTTAAAGCTCTTAAAAAATCTATTAGATCTATTTAATTATAAACATTTTTAACAAATACAGATCTATTAGATTATCTGAAATTAGCTATTATGACAATAAATATAATGACTATAATACTATAATAACTTATAACTAATAAGTTTAATAATAAGTTAAGTAATTTAAAGTCTATTTAATATCAGTAATATAAACATTGCAATATTTAGATATAAATAAATTATAAGAGTATAAATCACACTTCTACTTTGTTATCTTGAATAAAATTTATTATAATAAAAAAATGAAAATTAATGAGAAAAATATACAACAAGAGGAAGGTCCAAAAAAAAACCATGTATTGGCTCCCTTTGTAACTTTACCTAGTGATCGTGGATCTAAAGAAATTTGAATTACATTGGGTCTATAACAGCTTCAAAAAATGTAACGTCGTCATTTAAATTCTAGTTTTTTATAAAGTTACAGTAATTTAAAGATTATGTAATTATGTAATTAGCAATAAGGCTGTTTGAAATTAAAAATTCGTTTAACATTTTCTCCCCCATAAAATTAAACAAGTCTAAAAAATTGAAAATTGATGCAGATTGGTAAATCTCGGAAAGTCAGACAAACACACGAGTTGTCAAATTTAGGCTAACTTGAACCTAAGTTGGGATCATTAAACCTCGTTTAAAATTACTGTTTGTTTAATTTTTCCCTCTGCATAAAAACCGAAAAAAGAACGTTAACGAAGGTTTAAATTCAAACGGCCTAAACATTTGAATTAGCAATTTATTATTGAATAAGGAATTTTAATGGTACGTTTCGCAAAATAAAATATTTTTACTGTAAAAAATAAATTATTTTATTTCTACAAAAATTTAATTCATCGGATTTCACCAGATTTTATTGGATAGTTTATTATCAGATGTAAAAATCAGTGGATTGTAAAAAAAAACTCAGTCGATATCCACACTACCCTATTGAATTTAAAATCCCGATTTGACTTATAAGTTCAATTCCAATCCAATTACTGCACTTATAAAGGTGCCTCATAGCTTACTGTATGTAGGAATAAAGTTTCAGATCGGTACTGCTATTCCATATGACTATCAAATTTGTAAAAATTCTTAGAAGTACAATACTCAAAATCAAAAAAGGAATCAATTTATATTTTAATGTAATTAACACGCCACGACTATGGAATTAAGTCATGGCGTGTATAAATAGAATCTTTTCACTAAAGGGATCATTTTTCAAGTGATTTCAAATGTGATATTTATATACTCTATTAAACAATTATCACGCTTTTAACTTATTTGGGTTCCAAATAATTCGTCTCGGCCGAAACTTGTGCAATCTATCATAGAATCTTCATTGTTGAATATAAAAATGCGCATATATTAACTTACACAGCATACTATACATGTTATAGACTACAGTATTTGTTTTATATTCAGCTGTAACCTTTTGAACCGTAGTAATAAGCACGTTTATTATACTTTGCTGAATCAATCACATCGTCTACATGTATCTGATGTTTATGTTATAATACGATAAATTATCAATTTTTTTTTTATTAAAAAATTGTATATACTTTTTAATGTTCGCGTATTTGGAGCAAATTTAATTCTCGCGTAATTTGCGTAATTTGACTAAATTATATTTGTGTAACCAATTCAAATTTGTATTTTTGTTGCATACAGTAATTTTGTAATAATAATCTTAACGTTAATATTTATTTTATGCATGTCGTAAATTATAATATTGTGTTTACTGTAAGATCCTATCTATTGCATTGTACTTTATTCTCGAGGTCAGATATTTTGATGTGCAACTTAAAAATCTAATAAATGATGGTTTTATACAAAATACTTATATTCACCTTAGGCGGCCTGAGCTTAAAATCATCTCTGCATTGAATTCAGTAAATAGCTTTTATTTAACAAAATGTCAAATGCCATTTTTTGAATCGAATGATAGTAGAAAATTCTTAATAAATTATTCTTTCTCTTTGTTTTTTTAAAAAAAAAGTTTCCCATACTAATCATCAAAATCGACTGATCTTCCTGTTAACTTAGACAGATATCTTCGTGTAAAAGAAAAAATGTTACCGCGCTTCGACAATTTACAATAAAGACCTGAGAATCCCCAATCAGACCTTATGATTTTCTCGGCCGAATAACCGCATCATATGCATACACACAAACTATGAAAACAATCGAAACCGCTAAATTTAGATTTCATTGCATAAACAAGAAGTTATATTTGGTTAAATTGCCATTCTTTTTTTAATGTCGCTGAGATAATAGTGGTGATTTATGATGTGACAAAATAAAAAATATATATACATAAAGGTGAAAACAACAGAATAACGAATACTTCACGAAATGTTATATAATAATGGCACATGAATATCGTGATATAGTAAAACGACGCGCATGCGTTATCACGAAATATTGCATCACGTGTAATTAAATGCAACATATTTCATTTGGTCGAATTTATCATATCAGTAATTGAACACAAGCGATTACACTTCGGCCGAAACTCATACACAAGATGAATTAGGCAATCTTTCGGAAATGACGCCTGAAAATTTACTTTTCCTGTAAATCTGTTTAAGGGGAGGGACAGAAATCAGCTGATTTCTTAGGGGGATAGGGGTTAGGAGTTCAGTCAAATATTATATTAATCATAGAATATACTATAATATATCAGTCAGGTGCAATGTGTGAAATTCGATGTTCTCAATGTTCTCCGAGAACATAAAAAAAATTTCAAAATCTATTACTGTATTATATAGATGTTCTTGTGAGAACATAAAGAATTTCACACATTGGTCAGTTGGGGGTGGGAGAAGGAGCTCTATAGTAAATTAAAATCACCTGATTTCCCCTTAGTCTCCAACTGGTTTAATTTTACCAAACAAAATTTCATTTCTATGAAGCATATTATTTACTTTTTAAAATTGCATTACAGTGAAATATTTTTGATAAGAGTATACACGTATATGTTATCTGGATAAGTTAGTATGGGTATATTTATTCACCGCATCAAATTTCAAGATCAGGTGTAACGTAAACAATTGAAGCTAGGGACCTCGATGCGATGCGCAAATTCTTACAGGTAGGACCGTCCATGTTACACAAATGATCCAATTGATAAAAAAATTTTTTTTATACGTTTTACGGAAATTCAGGTAGATTATCTCATCTTTTGACCAGACCAAGTGTTCTAAGTAAACTTGAAGCTTTCGTGCTGCCTATAACATACTCGTTTAATCCATTTTAATCCACCAGCTTTCATATTTTATTCGACAAAGTTAGTATATAAAAAGATATATATGTAAGCTAAACTAAATTGGCGAAATCTTACGTTTGAGCAACAAAAAAAAAAAAAAGAATAAATTCTTTAAAGAGTTTTAATAAGATCTAGTATATTACAGTTTAACTACTTTTTTATATTATTATAGTCGTTCGAATATAGAAATGAATGTATATTTTATTATGATTTTTTAAAATTAGTCAATATATGATCCAAGCCAATAAAGATATTTTTACTTACTCTATGATCTTATTTAATGAGATTAATTTGAGCTTTGGATATAAATTTCAATTCAACTTCGCTTATTTTTCGCAAATTTTGATTTTTTTTTTTAAATTTATGATTTGATTGGTTAATTGACATATGATATTCGTGTAACTGTTTTTATGATTGGCTAAAATGATATGCATGATCCGAATTTTTATTTCCTTATTTGGAGACGGTCCTACCTGTAGTATTCTGGATTAGCACCCAGCTGTACTATATTCGCGTCTATTTTGCTAAGTTACTTTAACGCGTCTCCTTCTAAAAAGACCTGTGAGATGAGTTCGACATGTATATTTTTTACTGTAATTGCCGTATTTTTCGTACACCAGACTTCTATGTTCAAGGAAAATTGTCCGCATGCAACGATATCCCATATGCCAAATATTTCGAGCTTTGCGCATATGACAATTGGTCTCTCCACCACTACATCTCCCTTATACTTGATAATTATAAGTTTGCTAAAAAGGATAGAGCGTACCAAGTGTTTTTTATTACACTAGAAAGTATTAATAAGAACTTAAGTATATCAGAAGATATTCGGGATGTTGCTCAGAATCTCATAAAAAATAGAAAGGTAAGCTTATCTTTCGAATAATTAGTTTTGATGGGGCTTTATAGTTAGGTGCTTTGTACCTATTGGATGCGCTCTAGTAGGAACTATGCAAGTACTAAAATGGATGCGTTTACTGGATGCGTTCTAGTAAGCATAATGGGAATTTATCAGTATAAGTTTTTAGTAAAGATCTGTTGAATCTGGAAGAGGATTCATTAATAAAAATTTATCTATTGATATATTTCTGCACCCGCCATCTAATTTTATTATTTATTTGATTATGCTTACTGGAAAATAATATTCCATTTCTCATCTAGTTTTCTTTTATAGACCAATGTTGAGAAAGCAAATAGCTTATGGCAAAGGGCTAACAGAGAAAGAAAGGCATCGGAACCACTATTATCGCCAGATTCATCACTAGCATCATCACGATTACCATCGCCATCACCATCAATGTCGGCATTATCATTGGGGAAGAGGCAAAGAGAATCAGATATAATAGACGCTCCTGCAAAGAAGCAAAGTCCCGGAAATAAGTTGCTTCTGTCCGAGTGTGGATGTGTCTTTGCAGGCTAATGGATTCATAAATACTCTAGAAGTATTAAAATCTGCTGTTCGTACATTTGACCAAAAGACGGTTGCCTTGGGCTCTACCCGCTTCTATAAATGTTCAAACCATTTGCAAGTGGATTCCGAATGTAATGAAAGTGTTCCAAGAGAGAGTGTTTACGATGCAGAGATGTATAGAATCCTGCATAATTGGCTTGTCAAAGGTGCATAAGTTTGAAATAACTAGCCAGTGGCATCTAGAAGGAATTAGTAACGATGGAGATTGGCACTATTTTTATTGCGACCTGACAATAAAAGAGCAGATAACCTCTATCCTGAAGTGATTCTTGAATTACAGGCAACGGGATCTGTCTCTACTCTTATAGAACATTTTAATCGAGCAATAATATATGCCGACATGCTTCAATCTCGGGAAATTTGGATCGTACATTTTTCTAGAGAGGATTCTGTGGTATTTGATCTGTACTGGCCCTCTGCTAAATTACAGGATAGGAGGTTAAATATCATTCACTTCTAGCATGATAATGACTTTAAGAATGTGAGAATAAGTGCCAGATTTTGGAATACTACTGGCGAGTTTCGTGAAATTATAGATGAGGTAATAATACCCTGATCTATTTCTGTACTGTATATTATAATATAATTAAGCTGACCTGGCAGCCAATTTTATATAAATAATCATGTTTACTTTTACATATGTATTTTATGAATTTATCTTATTGATTGATATTAATGTATATTAACTCACATATGATCGAGAATTTTTTCTTGCCAAAAAAAGATCAGCATTTTCAAATAGAATACACACATGATTTTTTTTATTTTTAATAAATCTATATTTTATATAAAAATTTTTTATCTTACTAACTCACAATTAGTAATCACTAAATTCAACAAAATTCAATAACAAATAACTAACTATAATATCAAAACAAAATATAATTATTGGCTAATTTGAGAAATTCTACTTAACTTTATCAAATCACAAAATATTGATATTGTTTTTTATAAAGTTCAAGCATATAATAACAACAAATTCAACAATACAGCAAACTTTCTAGTATCACATCACTCATTTTTAGAATTTCTTGAATTCAACTATACAAATTATTTTAATAACTTCTATATACTTTAATAGAAAATTTTTTTGTTGAACAACTAATATGTAAATTTATTAAAAATATTTGTAATACTTTCACAATAGCTCTATAGTCTTTACAATTTAGAGTACAACTATAGAAATAATTCTCAAACTAAGTTAATTAAAATATAACTTGAGCAGTAATTAACAATAATCTTTTACAATTATCTAACTATACTAATTATAAATTAAGTAAAACCAAAACTTTTTAAGTTAAAAATTTTCTTAATAACCTTCTAACTATATCTTAATTATATAATACTACTCTAATATTATTAAACCAAAATAATGTATTCATTGTGATCAATTTGATGATAGTATATACTAGTTATTTTGTTCTAACTTACATTTAATTTTTGATATAATTAAATCAAATATACAATTCAACTTTACAATAAATAATCTTAATATTTTATCTTTACAACTTCTTAATCTTCAAAACTCACTCATTAACTACTACTCTTTACAACTACTACAACTATTCTCTATTAATATTTCACTTTATCAAACTATTATAGATTTTATATCAAATAATCTTATTCAGCTACTATATCTATATACTGACTCTCATAAATCTGTTTATCAATTTATAATATTATTATTTATAAAAATATCAGAATCAATATATGAACAACTATAGAAACCTTATTGAACATACACAGAAAATCTATACTAAAATTATTACTAACCATATAAATACTATACTTAACCAATACCCCAT